CGGGGGTTGTATCTTACCCCTTTCACCAGGCGCTGGGCTCTCGCACGTGTGGATGTAGTCTGGCTATTGTCCTGTGTCTTCTGGTCTCTCTTTTAGGATTAGTTGTATTTGTTGCATTTTCAAAAATATATATGTTTTTGGGAGGAGATTCCCACTGTCCTACTCATGCCTCCATGTTGGCTCCGCCTCGGTCATCTGTCTTTTCCTGAAGCTCTGCTCATGTCAGCTGCACCTGGCATTATACGGTCATCTGTCTATGCCTGAAGCTCTGCTCTCCAGTTAGGAGAGTGATCCCTTCCCAGGCCCACAGGCATGCCGAGGTAACCTTCAAGCGTGGACTCAGCTAATCCCATGCCACTTGAGGGGTTTCTGCGTTCTTTGCACTTCACATCTGGGGGACGGAGAGCTCTTGCCCGGTCTGGGAAGGGGATGTTCCAAGACATGCTGGAACTAGATTTAGGGAGGAAACCTCTTCCACAATGTTCTACAAGCTCCCATGCAGAGGCCCAGCACCCCTGGCCCTTCTCAACACCTTAATCAAGACATCAAAGTGTATGGGGTTTTCTTGCTTTTCCAGCTCGATCATCTGGAGTGTCCTGGACTGCAGCTTGGCTAATGGTCCTGGTACTCATCGTTGGCTCTTTGTTGACCTGAAACGAGCTCTTCTAACTCAAGAGTGAAACTTGAAGACGACAGGATCTTGCTTTCATCAGTAACGATGCTCTCAGCCAGGGCAGTAGCTCTGGCTACAGGGGAAGCGGGGAGTGTGTTTTGAGGCATCTACAAGAATTTTCAAATGAACTTTCTAAAAGCCATGTTTAACATTTTATTTTACATCCCTTAGTTGTTTTCCAACTATAACAAGTATATAGATACACATACTTCCCACCAAAAAAATATGATGACATCATAAAATGTTTTCTTGTTTAAATAAACATTTGGGATTAGTGTCCAAGTGGATCCCTGAAGTCGCCCCACATCTGTTGGACAAATGCCGACGGCACTAGCCTGAACACACCAGAACATGGAGACACACATGAGAAAAGCCTGGAACCAGCGGCTCCCGAGCACCAGTGCAGCCGAGGAGTTCATTCCTGCTCCCTCTGACTCTTGCTCCCACACCCTTGCCAGACTTCCTGGGGCCCTGGCTCTCCCAAACTGCCCTCCTACCAAGTTCTGGCCTCCTTCTCGGTGGTTTGCTTTGTTCCGGCCTCTCTGAGGAACAAGCTCATTAGGTTTTCCGGGAATATGGCATCAGGGTTATTGCTCCAGAACTGAGCATAAAGCTTTATCACATAAAGAGATTTGCTCCCAAGACCTTCATGGAGAACTGCGTTCCCCCTCCTCCTCTTTCTACCATTGTTGCTGTGTGGGAAAGCATCATGAATTACAATCATCAAATTGACAAAATGTTCTCACCAGTGTCTTCCATTACACAAAGGTAGGAGCCCCCAGGCCCACCACTGACATGGCACCTGGAATTTTTGCTTGATTTTCCCTCCTCTAAGGCTCCCCGTGGGTTGAAAGGGTCATGAAGGATGTGCTCCCCCTCCATGAAACTGCCCACCACGGATCACTTTCCCCTCACACTGAACCAGCCTTCCCCCACACCACCCTCTTCTGGGGCAGAGACAATACTGTGTCTGCCACCAAACCCTTTCATTTACCTCCTGGGCTCTGATGGTTAATTTTATGTGTCAACTTGACTAGGCCACAGGGTTGCCCAGACATTGGGCCAAACATTATTCTGGGTGTGTCCCTGGAGGTATTACTGAGTAAGATTAACATTTGAATCAATAGACTGAGTAAAGCAGATTACCCTCCCTCATGTGGGTGGGCCCTATCCAATCAGTTGAAGGCCTGCATAGAACCAAAAGGCTCATCCCCCACAGACAAGATTTCTTCCTGTCTGACTACTTCTGAACTGGAACATTTGGACTTTTCCTGCCTTCACACGTGGACTGTACCATCAGCAACCCAGAGTCTCCAGCTTGCTGATTCAGATCTTGAGACTTCTCAGCCTCCACAATTGCATAAGCCCATTACTTGTACTAAATCCTTGTGTGTGTGTGTGTGTCCTGTTGCTTTTGTTTCTCTGGAGAACCTTGACAAATACATGGACTAATAAAAAAACACCCTTTCCCAGCTCCCCTTTCATCTCACTGGGGCCAAGCAACTATTTTTAGCCAATAGAAAATGGGTGGAATTGAGGTGACAGGAAGTGAGGGATCCTGGGAAGTGGAACCACATAACATAAGGAGCCTGGGTCCAAGTCGTTGTTTGGAAGGCATCTGCCTGATCTACATTGGTCTTGCATAATGAGAAAGTTTGGGTTTTGTTTGTTACCACAGGACAGCCTAGACCCCCGAAGACACCCACCGCCTGCTTCGGCCCCATCTGCAGCCCCATTCCAGTGTCCCCTCTGATCAGCTTGCATCCTGCAGTCGGCCTGTCTGAGTCTTCTTTCTGTATGCACGTCTTTCCATTTTTCCCTCACCTTTTCTTGGCAGAGGGGTTTTCTTGGCACAGACACACCATCACACACACACATGAATGGAATAAAAAGGCATTTCTGGGGAAAGCAGTAAGAAGAAAGAAATGTCACTTTATAACACAAATAAGCCTATTCCTCGGTTGCTAAGGAGTAGACACATCTCTCCAGGCTTCGTGTTACTATTGGTTCCAGCTGGGAACCTGAAACAAATCCCACCTTAAAAATCCCTGGTTTCTGGGACCAGCTGTTGCCCGCCTCTCCCATCCCTCGAGGCAGTGCCAGACACATAATCTGTGGGTCTCAGCACAAAATAAAAATGTGTATGTCAACTAAACTTCAGTAAAAAATAAATAAAATAAATGTGTTCAAAAAGGAGGTAAAATGCCATTAAATGTTCTAAAATATGAAACCTTTTCCTTCTGCAGCCTTTCTTTATTAGGGATGCTTTAAAATATTTTATTTTATTACTATTTAAAGTTCTAAGTGAAGAAAAATTAAAAATTTTCATTACTATGAATTTTACTATGTTGTGTAATGTTGTTTTTAAAGACAATACAAGAACATTTCATTTGTATGTGGCCTCACCAAAAGTACTCAATTCACATTTGTAGTTTGTACATACATATGTATTTTGTTCTTACCAGAACAGTGGAAATACTGCAAAAATCTAACAGTTGTTTTTATTTGATTTCTTGATGCACACACATTCTTTCACTGCGCCAGGGAAGCCAGTGGCTTCCATAACACAATTCATTTTTTGTTGTTTTGAGTCTCATTAAGTTCCCATAATCCTGGGTCCACTGGGTTCTGTACTCATTGGGTAGCAGGGGTGTTATCTGTGAACGAAATGCTGAGAAACAGCAATGGACATGCAGACTGCATGTATCTCCTCTGCTCATGAGCATGCTCCATTGTCTCAGTGGACTTCACTTAAAATATACAAGTTGAAAGATAAAATTATTAAGAATTTCAAGATGGTGACAACAGAGCACTAGCCAAGAGCACTAGATCTTCCGTGGAAAGGGCCCTATTTGGCTGCATAGGTCACATGCCCATGAAACCTGGTTCACCTTAACATACTGGTACCTTATGCCAAGACAATCTCTTCTCTTGGAATTTTAGTGCAAAGACCAAGACCTGATTCTCATGTATTCTTCAACCCCTCCAATATTTCTATACAACAAAACTTAGTGGGGTGATTATCAGAGAACTCAAGTATTAAAAAGAGAGACAAAAGGTTCAAAATGGAGTCACTTGTGCTAAGCCCACATCACCAAACCAAGGCTTAATACCTAACTTAATTACAGTTTCAGTCTCTCCCAGAGTTGAATCTTCAACCTGTCAATCTGGAATTATCTGGTCAGTACCAGTGAGGAATCTGCCTGATTTACCCCTGCTGTCCCCCAAAGGGATGTGACATTGCCAGAAACAACCCAAACCCTGCTAGTAACTGCCTTGTCCCTCTCCCTTTTGCCTGTAAAAAGTCTTTCTTTGTAATGCTCTTCAGAGCATCTTTCTGTCAGACAGGATGCTGCCTGATTCATGAATTCTTGAACAAAGCCAATACAATCTTTAAAATGCTTTAAAATGGACTTAGTTGAACTTTGTTTTTTAACACAAGCCACTTGCCTTTGTGCAAAGAAGATATTCCAGCATTTGCCCAAAGTTCTCACCGTGAACAGCCTCACGTGAACTGAAGTCTCAGGACAAGTTGTTTCCTGTCCGCCCTCCCCCCCCGCCGCCCCGCCCCGACCGCAGTTCCCCCTGTGAGCTCGGCAGCACTGCCCTCTGCTGGCTCCACTGCAGTGAGTTTAAATAAAACAAAGTCTTGGATTAGATCAGGGCTTGCCAAACTTTCATTTTAACTGCAGCAAATTACCTGGGGACACTGAGTCTGTAGGTCTGGGGCAGGGGAGTCAAGATTCTGTCTCTAATGAGATCCCAGAGGACACTGACGCCCTTGTCCATGGACCACTTTTTGAGCAGCAAGGCACAAGCCGTCTGTCAGCTTCCTTGGTGTTCTGACCTCTAGCTTCAGGATTCTAGGCCTGTGCAGGGAACTGGGTCTGTCCTGCACTTCCTGCCCGCTCCACTCCTCATTCCCACCCCCCTTCCTTTCTCAAGTTAAAATTTCCAGTGGTCTCTCCCAGGGTCCCATGATCTCTACATGCACTGGCTATGCCACCAGCCATCAGGGACTGGCTTGTCTTAGCAGGCAGCTCAAGGCGACACTTGGAAGCTTGCAAGGCCAAGAGTGAATGGATTCCCCTGCAGACTGAGAGAATGCAGCCTTCCTATCTGGCTCTGCACAGACGGCTTGGATTGGGGGCTTGGTAAGGCACATGGAAATTAGACCCGGACCCTTGGGTCAATGAGTTTATTCATTCCCCTCCCACATTTGCTCAGTGCCTGGCCACGCTGGGTGCTGAGGCTCTGTGCTGGGAGCTGCTTCACGAGAGCCAACATCGACTGCGCTCTTTTGGGTGCCCGGCTCCATGTGCTCGTCTCCTGAACGCTCTCCTTTAAGGAATGGGGTGGGCGTTGGGTGGGGAAGTCTTTCCAGAATTCCTCATTGGGGGTTTGGATTTAAATGGCTTTGTTGATCGCGGTAATTCCACACAACTCTCGCTGACACCAAAGCAGTCTTGGGAAGGGCCCATCCTTCCTCCTCACTGCGTGTCCAGAACAGGACCAACATCTCCTGGTGCCTCGGGGCTTTTGTGAAAGTGGCAGCCCCTGCACCTGGAGAAGTGTGCTCCCACCTGCGCCCACCTCTGCTGCTCTCCGCAGCCCCCAGCCTGCGTAGTCCCCTGCGGCTGGGGAGGGGACAGATTTAGCCCAGAACCACCTGCACCTGCCGGAAAGTGCTAGTCACAGGCCCTTATTCTCCTCCACCAGCGGGCTCCAGCTGGGTGCGCTTGAGCCCAATCCCTTCACCCAGTCCCCTGCCCAGGGGGCCCCTCCTTAGTCTGTCCTCTCCTCCCCTCCACCATCTTCGCCCTTTACAAATTTATGACACCCTTATTTTCTACTCCCACCTCTTATTTGTTCATTCCTCTGCTCCACCTCATCCTGCCGATCATTTCTTTAATCACGCTTGCTTTCTACCCAGCCATTTCTGCCTCTGATGCCCCAGTAAGAGACGGTTACAGTAAGTCAGAGACAGCACTGCTGCCGGGCTTGGGGAGCCGGACCAAACGGACTTTGCTACCCCAGCAACCGCCCCCCCCCTGGCAGTGCTGTTCACCCCCCATTCTAAATAAACAGAAGACGAGGGACAGGAGGAAGAAAGGGAATCATCAGGACCAGACTTGTTGGAGTTGAGAGGGACCTGCTGCCCTTCCATCTCCTCCCCCGAATGAAGTCTCCTTCCCAAAATGCCATTAAAGGGGCCTCTGGAAGCACCACTGAAGAGATTCAAGCTTTGCAAAAGAAATGGAGACCGATGCCTTGCTCCCTGGTGGGGAAGGGGATTTGCTGATGTGCCCTAAGATGGAAACATGGCACTGAAGCAAGATGCATGGCATTGCCCACACCCACCGCTCATTAGGCGATGTCGGAGTTTCCACAGAGGATGGTGCAGACGGTTGGCGGGCTTCAGGTACTCTGCCACCCTGGCCATGGGGCAGCTGAGTAGGCAGAGGGCCGGAGGGCCAAGCCGGAGAGTCTGCCTAGCGTCAGCACACTCTTCCCTGCAACGCCGCCCCCACCAGCCCTGCTGGCACCCTTAAAGCACTTGCTCCCATTTCCATAAAAAAGCCCGTATTTCGATGTCTGTCAGGAGACATCCACAGCAGATCAGCTTCAGCCAGGGAAACAGATAACAAAAGCAGCCAGGTAACGAGAAGTTTGGCCCTCGCCTCCCTGCCCTAAGCCACTTGAGAAGCTGGCACTGGATGAGGGGAAATAGGAGGGTAGAGGGAGATGAGGCCATGATTCCCGCCCTATTACATGTCTTTTGGATCACGAGACAAGCCTGAGCTGGAGTGACAGGAAGAAGCTAAAGGGGAGTTTTGTTGACAGTACAATAGAACTGTACTGTTAAATTACTAGAAGTGGTAAAAATGAAACTGAGGGATTTTCCCAAAGCATCCTTAAGTGATCAAGGCAGATTTGACACAGTCCTCATGTGAATGGGGGACAAATACATTCTCTGATGCTAGCTCCCAATCAACCAAGTTCAGACTATGAAAAAAGGGGGTCTATGTATTTATACACCAGCTGCTGTGCGTGAAACACCGTTCTAGATTCCGCGCTTTCGAGCCGTGGTGCTCGACTTCGTGCAGATTACATTCTAATCTGGAAGACAGCCCTAAGGAGAATCAGTAATTTAATTTCAATGATGGCAATGCTGCAGGTATCAAATATGACAACTGCTAGACAAAAGAGCTAGTAAGGACCGAGCAAAGGTAAATCAGAAAGATGGGGCCACATTTTGAGGGTCATAGAGGATTTCCCTTTGGAATCAGAGACTGAAATGAGCAGGTGTTAGGCGGGTCAGCAGAGCATGTGTGGAGCCCTTAACAGGAAAGGAGCGTGAGGTACAGATGCTCTAGAAGGAAGAACAACCTGGCTGCTGGAGAGATTTGGATAAAAAAATATCTAAAGAAAGCTATTGCCATGTTTCTAGATGGCAAATAGAGAGCTATCTTGGGTAGTGGCTCTTGAAAAATAAACCAGCTCTCAAAGAATCTACAGTTTCTTAGCATAATAATTCCAGGGCTTTAATTTCACAAGACTGAGGGTCACATCAATGAGAAAAATTTCAGTTTCTTCATACAACTGAGGCCTGCTTGTTTCTTGGGAAAACTTGTGAGAAAATCAGCTGTAAAAATGTCACTGGGAAGGAGACTCAATTAGGATGTGGACCCATTTTGTCCCTCACCCTTTAGACTAGAATTTACCATTCTCCACCCCAAAATCAACATGACTGAGCAAAGGAGAATTTCAATTAGCATCAGGCCAGAGCCAGGGTATTTACATTTGCAAAAGATGAGAAAAGAGTGGAGGGGCAGAAACTGTGCCTCCTGCATCAGCTGGTTGTAGGCACGTTACCTGAACAAAAACGGTGGGGGAGAATTTTACTGAAGGGGTGTGGGGTAATCTGAAGAATCAAGAGAAAAGCTAAACGCTGGCGTCTAGATAGCAAGATTTTTAGAGTTCCCCATCAAGATGAATCAGCTCTAATTGTTTTCCAGCCTTGTGACTCTCTGCTTCATATGCAAATTTCTATAACCATTGTTTCTTCTAAAGTTCCCTGGGCTTTTGAGATCTACTGTACAATTCAGTAATTATATATATCCATGGTAAGGTAGGATATTATTTTTCTGAGAAAAACTGGAAAGGCAGGAGTCACTTGAAAGGGGTCAGTGATTCCTCTCCAATCACTTTGAGGGCTCCCGACAGGTAAGACTGGGAGAAAGTCAGCCCCACCCTCATGCATTTCCCAGGAGAGTCAGAGAGAGTTATTGGTAGCATTGCACAGATCCATAGGCCAGCGCCTACAGAGACACAGCC